ACAACGACAACAGAGTTAAATGGAAAAGCGTGTAATAATAAAATAAATAGCACACTCCATTCGCCTCTCTGTGGCCTATGACCAAATCGCCTGGCGCGCACGCAGTCTCTGCAAATCTAGAGCAGACTTGAGCCTCGATATTATTTCGATTGGCAGCTACCCGTGCATACACAACAGCGTTGCTTGTGGGCTGCTGAAGGGAATTGAGGCGTTCTGGCGGTACACCGGTGCAGCATAATAACACACACCGGTCCTCATTAAACAGACTAAAATATTCATCTAAATTTTAACTGACGTTCGTCTTGCGACTGCTTAGACATCACGAAAACTGATTTTGGCGAACCAGCACCACCCCGCAAGATCTTCTCACCGGGGGTTTTGCGAATCGCGGGACAATAAATAATTTTTTAAATGTTTTAGCTTTTTCTATACCGCACACCACCGGTGTACCACCGATACGTTCATAAACACATTCCTGCGGAGGGAGCTGGTATAGAACGTTGGGTTGCTCGGTCAATGGCCAGGGTCAACGCCGGCGTGGTGTATTCCGCAAATATGCCCGACTGTTGAGTAAGTTAAACGTTGAGTTTTATAAGGGCACCACGGGGTGACCAGCCCCTCCCCACCCAGCCCCACCCCTCCCACCCCCCACCCAGCCCCACCCTCCCCACCCAGCCCCTCCCTCCCCTCTCCACCCAGCCCCACCCCTGCCATTTTGGATGAACGACGGACGGACGGACACAAGAATCCCCTGTGGGCTGGTGTAGTAACCAGGAGGTTTCTACCAGTATAAAGCGACATACATCGTTGTTATACTGTTCTCTCTATGATCCCAGCTTTCACCACTCGCTCTTCCCGGCGTGTTGAGGTTGAATCAAACAACTCCCCCTTCACCTCCCCCCCATCATCCACATGGTATGTAGAGGCCTTCACCCAGCGATGTACACGTCTCACTGTGAGTCAGTCACACCGCTTTCTATATACTAGTAATTTTTACACACTGCCCTGTTGTCTGTTTATGTACTGTCAAATCGTTGACGAATATCTTCGGTTCTACGCAGCCGAACGAGCTGAGATTTTCTGCACAGACTCGTCATCGCCGTCGTCTTGGCGTGGCAATTCAAGATTTCATTCAAAGAACCGGTCCAGGTCCCGCCGATCCTGGGCGTCTTCGTGTTTTTGTCACGTACTTTGTGTCCTTCATGCAGTCGAGAAAGGGCTCATTATGAAAGAAGCAATGGACCCCCTCATGGGTTTGACGAATATCGACGTATGACCCTAAATGATCTTTGAGCCAGAACAAAAAAAATCCAACCGAAAAACGTCACCACAATTTAATGGATACATTATTTTATAATCATTGCACCGATATCTTAAACGCTTTTGGAATTTTTTTTTAACAAAACGTGCCGTGGACATATGGCTCTTTTGGAGGGGACTGAAATTTCACGGATATTTTACGGTGTTATTAATTCAGGAAGTGTTTTACGGCATCATTCATTCATATAGCCAGTCGTCGGAACTCGGCTGGATGGCTTGTGATTGAGAGAGGTCGTGGTCATCGTAAAATCGCTGGAATGTGGTTCAATGTTTAAAGGGCAAAATTAAATGGGGGCATGGGAGTGGGTGATGGGGTGCGAGTGGCACTGTGGCTGACAATTTGGCCTGGCGGCAAAAAACGCAGCGAGTTGACACGGTGGGGAGCACAGGCGGTGCAGTCATCTCTGCTAGTAATCTCTGGCCAGCTAGCCCACGACACCTGGGTCTGCCCTATGACCTCTCGAGCGAGCCTTTGACGCTTCACGTGGCCTCAAAGCGCACCTAACCTGGCACAAGCGCTGCGGTGACGTCGCCGTCATTTCGTGCTGTTGTCGGACAGTTAAAGGAGTTGCAGTGGGTGGCATTGACCAATGTTTGAAAGTCACGTGCTTGGAATATAAGCAGATTTTCAGTCTGATAAAAAAATAAGTGCAACTTTATGGGAAGCCAAATATTATTAACTGTGGGTTATCTTTGAGCAGCGTATCCAGGTTGTGAAATAACCGTGTTTGTGAAAATGTTGATGTAATCCTGCTGATACGAACTTCTACCATTAGCTGCTTTTAACTCACGACTCTATTACTTTAAGAGTCGTAAAAACACAAAACATTCTGTGTCTACACAACCATTCTATGTACGTACACAATAACACGTGTTTTTGAAATTTAACACGTAGGCTTTCGCCACAAATAGTATCCATAAGAGCTTATTGGGTTACATTGCGTACATATAAATGCGTCGTTTAACCCTCCACCACCCGACACGGTCAATTTGTAAACAAAACGAGCGTGGCAATTCGTTAATAGCACATTGGCATGTTTTCTTTACGTGACAAAACTTACTAATTGGCTGTGTCGGGTGGTGGCGGGTTTAACGACACATTTATATTTACGCGATCTAACCCAAAAACCTCCATTATGGACGACACGTTTTTATCACATTTTTTGTATTTATCTGCGACAAAAACCAACGTGGCTACCACGGTGAGAGAGAGAAGACACACGCGGACTTGTCGGAGTCGGGATGGAACTCACGCCCTCCAGCGTACCAGATGACATCTCGAGATATCATCTCGCCACCACCTGATACCCGTGAAGTTGAAGCCAAGGACTCACTCGGGGGCCTTTTTAAAACAACTTTATTTTTTTCCTAAAGATGTCAGGCACACAGCGTGTGTATGTGCAACTCGACAAACACACTTGTCGGGACAGCACCATGGATAGCACGTGGATATAGTATACAACACATCCTGGAAATCTCAATCTTACACATGTGTTTTCTCTATCGTGCTCACAGGCTATAGATGTGTGTAATGTGGATCACAGCATTGTTTAAAGGGCCTACCTTTAATTGCAATAGGTTGTTTGTAATCACAGTACAGACAGGGCCCCGCAGTAGAGACAGGGCCCTGCAGTACAGACATGGCCCCGCAGTAGAGACAGGGCCCCACAGTAGAGACGGGGCCCCGCAGTACAGACAGGGACCCCGCAGTAGAGACGGGGCCCCACAGTAGAGACGGGGCCCCGCAGTACAGACAGGGCCCCGCAGTACAGACAGGGCCCCGCAGTAGAGACAGGGCCCCACAGTACAGACATGGCCCCGCAGTACAGACGGGGCCCTGCAGTACAGACATGGCACCGCACCAGAGACAGGGCCCCGCAGTAGAAGCAGGGCCCCACAGTACAGACAGGGCCCCGCAGTAGAGACGGGGCCCCGCAGTACAGACAGAGACCCACAGTAGAGACAGCGCCCCGCAGTACAGACAGGGCCCCGCAGTACAGACAGGGCCACGCAGTATAGACAGGGACCCACAGTAGAGACAGGGCCCCGCAGTAGAGACGGGGCCCCGCAGTACAGACGGGGCCCCGCAGTAGAGACGGGGCCCCGCAGTACAGACGGGGCCCCGCAGTACAGACGGGGCCCCGCAGTAGAGACAGGGCCCCGCAGTAGAGACAGGGCCCCGCAGTACAGACAGGGACCTCGCAGTAGAGACGGGGCCCCACAGTAGAGACGGGGCCCCGCAGTACAGACGGGGCCCCGCAGTACAGACGGGGCCCCGCAGTAGAGACAGGGCCCCGAAGTACAGACAGGGCCCCGAAGTACAGACAGGGACCCACAGCAGAGACACCGCCCCGCAGTACAGATAGGGCCCCCACAGTACAGACAGGGCCCCGCAGTACAGACGGGGCCCCGCAGTACAGACAGGGACCCACAGTAGAGACAGCGGCCCGCAGTACAGACAGGGCCCCACAGTACAGACGAGTTCATTTCACATTGATTCAGGATTTTTCTTGAATTGCAGGAATGTATTTGTAGGCCTTTCATCTGCCAGGCCAAACCTCAATGCTCCTGCACTTGGCAGCGACAACACTGGAACGTCAGAGGGGCTTGTCAAACCCATCAGAGAGTTTACATCGCCCCTTAAGCCGTCGAGCTGCCTCCATTGCAGAGACAGCCTCTTGTTCCTGGTTACAAAAGTCGGCATTTCACCATTTAATAAAGTGACATTACATTGTACAATCATTTTCTATCCACCGCTGGCTCAAGGCCTCCCCCCCCCCCCCATAATGCATCACTCACGAGGGGTTTTTTGACCATGCTTCACCATTCTGGTCGGTGGTGGGGGGGGGGGGTTGGTGCTCGGGACCGGGTTCAGATATTCCACCCACCAACTGACATTAGCCACGGCTGGCAATCGAACTTTGCGAGCTTTGTCAGGTTTGTTGTCGGGTTTAGATGGCGAGATGCACCAATAACTGCTCCAACCGCCTCGCTCCATGATCGTTGGCCGGAAGAGTTTTTGAGAACACTCAGTGGCGATTGCAAAAGAGGTGCTGGTTGGATGCAGCAGGCGCCAAATTCATTGCCTGCGTACGAGCAAGCGAGCGATCCTACGGGCTAAGCGTGACCGGCGTTTTGCTTGAACGCCGTCAACGCCGAGTGACGTCGCCGCGCGAGGCTCCGCTGCCTCGTGGCCCCCAGCGGTTACACCGCACCGCGTGGCACAAAAGTTACCCGCCTCTACTGAACGTCTATGGAAAAAGAGCTTTAGAGCTCATCGGATTTGTTCAGTATAAATACAGATTCTGATGCTGATTCTGGAAGCCGCTTGCTTTGTTTTGTGATCAGCAAGGAGGGGGGGGGGCGGCGAGGGGGGGGGGGCTCGTGCCTGAAATACTTTAACAATTGTAGCTGAACTCAGGAAGGGTCATACTTTATTGAACAATAGTAGCTACGGTATTTCAATTAGAAGTGGCCATCGAATTGGTCCAAAGCCATCCGGTCGAAATCGTCGCCTTGCACTACAAGTGTGGGATTGCTTTTTTTTGTTTTAAAATCGGTGCGATTACCTCGCACGTCATTCCCCTTGGCACAAAACTGGAACCCACAGATCTGCCAAGTCAAGAGAAGAAACAAGAACAAAGCCCCCTCCTGCGTCGAAGCTGTGGCGGCGTGCCGCTGGGTTCGGCGCCGCCGCATTCAGATCTGGTAGACGACCTCGGGGGCCTGGTCCTGCGACGTTTGCGAGTTTGAGCGCCGGTTGCGGAACACGGTTTCTCGCAGGATCTGCCAGCCGCGGCCTGACGAGCGACCGGCGAAGATGGAGGGCGGCACCATCAGCAGCTGCAGCTGCTGCGGCTCCTGCTTGGCGGGGGTGTACGTGTAGTTGTCGCTCCCGTACTCCTCCTCAGGCCCCTCCGCCTCCGCGGCGCCTTTGCCGCCCTTTGGCTTCGATTTTGGCTTGCGGTTCGTGTAGCTCTTGATGTTGTGCATGGCGTTGTCGCTGCATTCTTCTATCCTGTGAACGGACAACACACCGGTTAGCTCCGCCACGGAGCCAGATTCGCGCGTCTGCCGCGGGCCGGTGAAGGTCCACGGCAGCTTTGCTTTGGCTCTTCGCGTACGCTCCTCTCCATGGCACTTGTGCGAAAAAGACTTCGCGGAACGAAGCAGCCGCGGCACTTGCCGTGACATGGAAGTATGTGAGAACATTGGTCATTGCGCACTATTATGACTAGTCCAGTCCATCGCGAATGTGCATCGATCGCACATTGAAGTAGGCTCTCTGAAACAACAGCGCCGTTTTGAGTCCGTTGCAGAATTGGCTCAGACTCGGCAATGGATCTGGAATGTGAGCTCGGTAGCGGTGTTCTAGGCCTTTGGGCCGGAGACCCCCGAAACCGCGCCGACCGTATCGCGCGCGAGGTTTACATGCGGCGGTCGCAGCGGCAAGTCGCCGCGAGCCGCGGATCGTAGTCGGAGTCGATTTGGGACGGAGCAGCAAACGGCAAAAAATTTCATTGTACGGGTGAAAATTGCGTGTGCGCGGGTGCCGTCGATGTGCGGCAGTGTGGTGGACCCGGTGAGGGGTGAGGGTGTCGCACCTGAGGAACCAGCGCTTATCCAGGTCGTAGCCTCCTCCAAACCAGCCGATTCGGGGCCACAGAGCGCGAGGCATCCGCCTCTCCAGCAGGATCGTGCTGGCCGCCACCTGTTGTCATTGTCGTACCAAAAACAAAAACCTTACATGAGCCAATGCTCTGGATGGGAGAGCAAGCACAGCCAATGAAAATCCCCTCTGCATACCTTACACCCAAAGCTCATTCCCCCATATGAGCTCTATTTCAAGGTCCCCCCCCCCATACCACTCCACCCTTCTCACTCCGAAGACCACGGCCCTATGGAGCACGTGTAACAATCTGCTCATCACACCCAGAACCAGGCTGAGCGGAGTCTCTCCGTAGCTGCACCGGCAGCTGTCTGGAACCCTCTCCCACTACTGCACATGTGTAGTATCCAAGCACCGTCATCCTAAACGTAACAAACTTTAAATGTTTTATATTTTACCAGGTAAGGCCCCACTGAGCTGTGTAGCTCTTTTTCAGAAGCGACCTGGCCATCACAAATGACAGCTCAACGAAAGTGGCTCATCGCGTGGACATTTATAGCAGCCACATACTTTCAACGCGTGTTTCTAAATGTGGAGGGAAACACCGGAGCACCTGGAGAAATATCCACGTGACCACCGGTAGAACATGCAAGCTCTAAATATAAAGCAGGCGTTAGGGTCGGGATCTAAAACCATGACCTCATGTATACCAGGCGAGGTAGTTAATATCTCGCCACCGTGGCGCCCCATATTCAAGCAGCAGTTCAAGACTTTCACTTATACAGGCTCAGCTGTTCAGGCTCGCTCCATGCCTCCTGAGTTCTCGATTGAACAATGCGCACGATTTGCGAAATATACACGCGTTGTAAATTGTGTTTGTTATATTGTGCAGGCTGTTGAGGCGTATGCACACGTGTGTGTGTGTGCGTGTTAAACGCAGCTTGTGGTGGAGTGGCGGTACAAGTGGTTCACACACTGTGCTACGAACCCAACCGCCTGAGTTCGGTCCCTGGCCACGTCAAACATCAGTGGCGATTATCTGAACTATTTATGGCCCTCCTCGAGATAAACTGAGCCTCGAATGCATACCTGGTGGGAAGTTCAGAAATCTCCGTACTGGGCAGGCAAAATTCGACTGTGCGCGGGGTTGCGCGCCGCCCTTTCACGCTCCACCAATACCTTTTACCTGTGCTCGCCAACAGCACTTTCCCATCAGAATGTAGCTATAATGGGGGGGACCTTTGTATTTTCCACGTGCGTGCGCGTGCACCGCGTGTTTGTGTGGACGCGTGTGTGTGTGGACGCGTGGGCGCGCGCGTGTTTGACCTGCGTGCGCCACAGCTCGTCGCGCTCCTGTGCCACTCGCCAGTGGGTGTCTCCCATGGACGCGATGAGCAGGTTGATCATGAGCAGAAAGGCAAAAATCATGTAGAAGACGTAAAGGATTTTGATGATCTCGGGCGTGTTGAGCTCGTAGTTGATTGGAATGTCGAGCAGGCCGAGAAAGAGCTGGAACATGGTGAACCACACGCTGACGAAGCTCTGCCACTGTGGCCAATTATCAGGATTCATCGTCTGAAAGGTCAGGTGGAATGCTGTGGGGACAAGGGGGTGAGGGGGTGTCAGGCAGGGAGAGGGTGGCATAGCACGATGTCACACTTTTGTGTGGTTTGTCAGAGACGTGAATGGAGGAACCCTGTTTTGATTTTCGCAAATAGATGAAAATTGCACACACACACACACGGCATGCTCTGACTCGTCACGGAGAAGTATGCATTGTAGTGCCGGTTCGTATTGACACTGCCAACAGGAACAAAATCCCAAGGCTACCGACACAAAAAAACTAAATCTGCAAAGTGAAGGGAATCTCAAGGCCAACTAAAATCTGCATCCATGAGGCATTGGTGATGGTAGTTCTATTCTATGTATTTAAATTCAAGATAAAGACAAGACAAATATCCCCCGTAAAGCCTTAACAGACTGTTGGGGAAAGTGCTGTTAGCAAGCACCTATGAAGGCCGGTACTTTGACACACGAGGGGGTGGGTGGCCAGCACCACACCCGACCGCCATTGTTTCCCGAGTGGCGATGTTTACGCACCACACCAAGTACTCATTTGTGGCTGAGTTCGATTGGAAGAAATATACTGGGAGCAGAAATTAACTTGCTGAGAAGGCTCCTGGGAGCATCTACACAAGCTAAGAAAATGAGACCGTAGGATAAAGCTAAGTCGGCAGGAAAACTTTAGATTAAACAAAAGGTACAAAGACGCATACTTCGCTGGGTTTGTGGGGGTTACACGAAAGCCCTTCGGAGGCCAATGCATTCCACTCGGTGATCTTTGCGCTCACGCGCAAAAGGATCAGAAAGTAGAGAGGCCGTTCACACAACAAGTTTGATTGGTGGCACGAAGGAGAACTCGAGATGGACTCGAGGGGAAAAAAACCCAGAAAAGCTCCCACATATATAACTTTGATTGTCCCGAGCTCTAAGCACACGCCGATACTTGCATTGTCTTTGTGCTGTTTGCCTTTTGGCGTTGTCCTCCGGTCTAAACACCGCTGGCGAGACTTAGGCCCTAAAGTAGGCTGTTTCTGGTGTAGGGAAATCGGTTTCAAAGACAATGCATACATAAAGGGTTTGGGACACATTCCTGCAGACGTGGCAAGATCGGAAATGGCTGCAATCCTCAAAAACGTGAAGACACCTGTTAGCAACATCAGCAAGGATGAGCCCCTTGAGCTTTATCAACTAAAAAAAGGAGAGATGACATCGTCATCCTCTCAGCCGACAAGGGCAATGCCACTGTCATCATGGACAAAACCACATACAATAACAAAATTCAAGACCTACTTAATGATGGCAGCTATACCAAATTCAATAGAGATCCTACCAACTGCCTGGTTATGAAAACCAACATCATCATCATTGATTCGACATCTTTAATCGAACCAAACAAGCGGCTTTCCTTAAAACCCTCTGCTGCTAGACCACCCAGATTTTATGGCTTACCAAAAATCCATAAAGAAGGTGTACACCGCTTTGTCCTATCATCTCCACCATTAGCTACAAACTGGCCCGATTTCTGTCTGAGACCTTGCAACCATTCACTGGTAAGACCGCCTCAACTGTACTTAACTCAGCTCACTTGATATCTTCAATTAAAGACATCTCACTATCTCCAGGTGATTTGCTTGTCAGTTTCGATGTGGTATCTTTGTTTACCAAAGTTCCTGTGGCTGACACCATTGCAATCATTGAAAATTTGGTACAACAAGGACTGAATGCTGATGTACTGGCCCTGGTTAGACTGCCTCAACAACACTTACTTCACCTGGAATGGAACATTCTACAAACAAGTTGAAGGTACCCCAATGGGTTCTCCCTTGTCTCCAGTTGTAGCCAATGTTTTCATGGAGAAATTTGAGACAGATGCCATCCAGGCATCCACCCTACGTCCTTTCTTGTGGAAGAGATACATAGATGACACGTTCGTCATCTGGCCACATGGCCTACCAGCTCTGGACCAATTCTTAAACCACATCAATTCCATACACCCAGCCAACAAATTCACCATGGAAGTGGAAAAGGATGGCAAGTTACCATTCTTGGATGTTTTAATCGAAAAGAGACCAGATGGCTCAATGGGAGACTGTCTACAGGAAAGCCACCCATATGGGTGCCTACCTAAAACCTGACTCCCACCACCATCTATCCCAGAAGAATTCCCTCATCAAAACTCTACACCATAGAGCTCGGTGTATTTCCGACCATCACCACCTAGCCAGTGAACTGGACCACGTACACCAAGCCCTCAAGAAGAATGGGTATTCAGACTACACAATCCGTAAATCTATCACCCCAACCGTTGGGAAAGAACCATCTGAGAACCCAATCAAAACCATCACCTTGCCATACATAGTAGGGGTCACCAAAAAGATTTTCAAAATCATGAGCAAACACAAGATCCGGGTACGATTCAACAAAGTACATAAAATTCTTGATCTGATCCCATCTGTGAAGGATGTGATCCCTGACATGCAATACCCCGGTGTCTACAAACTAAGCTGTGTCTGCGGCAGCTATTAAATTGTGGAAACTAAGCAACATGTCTCGGCCTGGGTTCATGAACATAAGGCAGATCTGAAACACGGTAGGATCAATACCTCAGCCGTGGCTGATCATTATTTTAACGCTGTGGGCAGACACGAAATTTATTTTTCCAAGACGAGGGTACTCTGCAAGCCCACTGGCTATCAGCAATGATTCGTGCATGAATCCATCTATATATACAGACACAATTTCAACCGAGAAGATGGGTACAAACTGAGCAATCATTGGAAGGACGTTATTAACCAGTTTAGGTCATAACTGGCTGTGATGTTCCCTCCCTACCTACCTATGTTAGCAGTTATTTTCGACTCTCTGAGTTACATTCACTACCACAGCCACCGTTAGCTGCATTAGTGAATGGAGGCTTGCCATCCTTGTCCACCTCCATGTGGCAATGGCGCCTTCCGAGCTCTCTCCGAGCTTACATTTACAAGCAAGTTTCTTACATTGACATGCTAATCTCTCACAATACAATGGCCACCCCCACAGCTTCGTTTGTCAAGATTTACTCGATCTTACATTAACATGCAAATTTCATCTATAGCCCCTCCCACTGACCCTTGGGCTACACCCATCGCAAACCTTTATAACTCCTTACTTTAGCAGCGCTCCCACCATATATTCTCAGCAGCTCTCCTGCGATATTTCTTACCTGATGACGATTGCTTGTGTTGCGATCGAAATGTCGTGATATTGTTATTATTTAACATTTTTGATTGTTTGATCTATCTACGTGGCTTTACCGAAAGACCCAAGAATAGAAAAATGCATACATTATTATTAGATCATGTTTGTCTGCATGTTCACCACAAGTCTGTGTGGTGCATGCAGACTTGATGGTGTTTGAACATCCTGACACCTGTTTGATTGCCAGAAAGAGTAAAACCTATTCTTATTTTCTCCCCATTAACTTGGTCTGGGCTGGGGCTAGGTTTTTATTTCCGTGGCTGTGTCGCCCGTGAGGTCTCCCAAGAGAGTTAAAGACGACGTCTTTACCGCAGGTGAAGCCCATGAGCACCATGAACATGAGCCAGCACACCCGGAACACGTCCCCGAACAGCATCTGTACGAGAGGGGGTAGCGACACACACACACACACATACACGGAATCCTTCACTGATTGTAGAAATGAAGTCAAACTTTCCGGCATGAGTGAGAAGTTTGTTAAAAATATATACTTTGAAGATTATGGCCAACAGACCAAATCATCGTAAATCCAAAGTCAGATCCGTCATACATGGGACCATATTTTCCCCGTAGGCAACTGTCAAAACGTATTCAAGAGGGTTTAGGGGGAGAAAATCCACAGGAAAAAACACTCACGAATAACAAAAGCTCAACACCAGAACACATCCGAAACCAGAGCCGAATCCGTTCGAATGCGTTCGGAGTCGTTGTCGGAGGATGCATCGTGAGTCAAGTTTCTGAGTCGTAAATTGATCCACGGTGGCATTATACAAACGCCTTGAAACGTGGACCGTCGTGAAACCGGAGACCTCCTGTGATTATGTCACCCATATTTTTCTCATGGCCACCAATTGGGCTTTTGCAGGCCAAAGTGGTCAAGTGACCGGTCACTACCCCCACCTGCCAAAGTGCCTTGCCTTATGGGCAGGGCTCGGCAACCTAAACGTAACAATAAGAGCAATTTTTTTAAATTCGATAAACCCCCCCCCCCCCCCCCCCCCCAATATTTGAAGAGCCCCAATGCACGCGGCGAACATGAGAAGGTAGTGGTGTTAAATTAAACAGTCCTTAGTGAGCCGCAGGTTGCCGACCACTACCCATGGTAAACTGGACTCCCATGGTAAACTGGACTCCCATTGTAAACTGGACTCCCATGGTGAACTGGACTCCCATGGAAAACTGGACTCCCATGGCAAACTGGACTCCCATGGTAAACTGGACTCCCGTGGTAAACTGGACTCCCATGGTAAACTGGACTCCCGTGGTAAACTGGACTCCCATGGTCAGGGGTCGACAATCAAAAGAAGACGAGCAGCCAATTTTTATTTTCGAATTTTAAAGAGCTGCACGGCAAGCCCCTTAATGAGCCGTCCGTGGCTCCGGAGCCGCAGGCTGCCGGCCTCTGGCTATGGCGGACGATGACACAGGGCTCGTTGGCAACGTACGGCTTGAGAAGTTACGTGGAATACATTTGTGGTGCCGTTACCGGAACCGCTACCGATTATAATCATTCAAATCGACCGCCCATAAATGGGATTGGCCAAACGCGACTTTTGAACGCAGCCACCCCGAAGAAGGTCTGAAGACTCACCGAGGGCTTTCCTGTCCTTCGATTGGCACGGTTGGCTACGTACGGTGCGAAATACGTTCAACATACACTGTTATTATTTATATGCAACAAAAACATACAAATTAACCCAATCAACAAGTTTGTTTTGATTTGTGCCTTGAAAATCAGGGGTCGGAAACCTTCAGCCCACGTTCATGATTAAGCCTGTGAATTAATTTCATACATTCCACAAGCTTGGCCACTTCTGTCGCTGCAAAAGGCCTCTCTCTCTTGGAGTGACAGAAGTGACTGAGGTCTCTGTGTAATGTAGCGACCCGAGTTCGATTCCCGCTCAAGGCCAACACCAGTGACGATTATCTGAGCCGGTCCTGGGCCTCTCCTAGGTCAACTCAGCCTCATTTGAGTACCTGGTGTGGTGTGTAAACATGGCCACCAAGGAGACAAGGATGGCCGGGTGTTGTGCTGGCCACCCACCCCCTCGTGTACCGTGCTGGCCTTCATAGGTGTTCGCTAACAGCACTTGCTCCAACAGTCTGTGAAAGGCCATACGGGGGATGTTTATCTTTGCTAATATATCGACTGCCAAAGATATTTGAAAGTCCGATTCAGCCTTCAGTGTTGAATAGTTTCCCCACCTCTGCTATTGGACATCGGTGAAAACAAGCTTCATAGCTCTGATTCTGATTAAATGCACAAAGCGCGCAAGCGGAATATTGGCACATCCCGTCGGGGATTCACGTCGCACCTTCTGTATCATGACGGTGAACGAGCCCAGCATCTCGATCCCGCGAGCGAAGAACAGCGTGTAGCACCAGCCGAGCACCAGCGCCAGCGACATGGGCACGGACTCCCCCTGGGCGCCCGAGAGCCTCATGACGAAGAGCAGTCCCACGAGGCACGCGTAGCACACCCTGGGGGGTCCACGCGGCACCACCGTCGTCACGGAGCAGCGGTGGCGGCGGTACAACACCGCGACGCACAGCTTTGTGGGTGCCACCCAATAGACTGTCGAGCCCGCCCATTCCCTGTTGCCATTTGAAAACGAATTTCCTTAGACCCGCTTTTCGTAAGTTTCATTTGTCGTTCTCCCCCCACCCCCCGTTGCCCGCAACTCTGATTCAGCGCGGTTGGCTACGTACGGCGCGAAAGAAGTTTAACATACGTAGATAGAGTACGTATTAACTCTAGATTGATAGTGACTTGATGGTGACGTGATGGTGACGTGATATTTCCCTCGTGATATTCCCTCTCACGTATTTGCCCACTGCCGTGGGGGTGTCTGCCGCCTTTGTCAAACTTCTCCACTCATTCCTAGGTGCCATCTTCACGTACTCCGCACAGTCCCTCATATTCCAGCTCACCACTTGGAGCCCCCTGTCTACAAAACCGGCTTCTCTACGCGGTCGGCGGGGAGGCGGGGGTGGCAGGTGCCTGCGCACAGCGCGGCGCTCGTGGCGCGAGCGCGGAAGGAGACGTCGCGCTGCAGACGTGTGACCCAGTCTGCATGCCGGCTGGTGGCCGAGAGCAGGTTGAGCGTGAACACGACGCCATCCCAAGAGGCGGTTTTGCACTGGCACTGCCTCCTCCGCTTGGAATTGATTCCGGGAGAGCGAAGGCTGCATTTGTGGGCCGCCTCCGAGAATGAAAACGAATGCAGTTTTTTTTTAAATCTCCCGCCGACGGCGTCCGAAGAAGACCTCTGCGAAAATTTGTCCAGCGCCGGTCTCGTGTCCGGCGACTCACGCCCAAATGAAAAACAAATCTGCCGTGTCACAGCAACGCGGGCCGCTCGAGGGGCAGAAAAGTGCAAAGGGCGGGAGGGGATGAGGGGGGTTGAAATGCACCGGAGGGCCATCGCCCCCTCTCCCCCCACGGGATTTTATGCGTGTCTTTTGTGTGAGTGTGAGACGCGTGAAGGTGCCGGGGGGGGGGGTCTCACATGATGATGTGGAAAGGCCCTCCGGTCACAATGTTTCCGAAGTAGCGCGAGAACCCGATACGGATCATGTCCGGGATCTAAGTGAGGGGACAGGAAACACGCACAGCCATAACAGTTCATAAAAAAAAACACAAGTTTGGGGGGAAAAAAATCACACACCTGCCCACGGATGTCGTACCAACGCGGCAACATGCGTTCACTCCTCTGAAGTATCTCATTGACAGCATGTCAGCTGACAGGTTAGCTGTCAAGGCTGGTTTTTATTTATATATGTATTTATACATGCGGCAACCATTCATTCAACTGAGCCGGCATTGAACTGGCTAAAAGTTCCTCAAAGCAATGAAACTTTACACTGCAGGTTCATTGACATTTTCACGAGAGTTATGGTGACTCCCCTGTTACAGACGGATGGACAAGAGAGCTGCGCTCTAAATGTTTTCAACCTGAGTTGTAAAGCTTTAAAATACACTCGATATTACATGGGCCTGCATTGATGCTTGTGTGTGTGTATATGAACCATACTTCGCAATGGTTAGTGCAAACCCGGCAACCCGAGTTCGATTACCGCTCACGGCCAACACCGGTGACGATTATCTGAACCGGTCATGGGCCTCCCCTATGTCGACTCAGCCTCAAATGAGTACCTGGTGCGGTGCGTAAAAACATCGCGACTGGGGAGACAAAGGCGGCTGGGCGTGGTGCTGGCCACCCACCCCCTTCATAGGTGCTCGCTAACAGCACTTACCTCAACAGTCTGTTACAGACTATAAGGGGGATCTTTGTTTTGTTGTTTTGTGAACCGTAGATGTACGATGTAGATATGCAAAACCCTGTGTATACTCTCGTGTGTAAATTATGCATAGAAATCGCGAGATAAGCCACATTTCTTTATGCAATTCGTGCAGCATCTGAGCCGGCGAGAGATGTCATCGGTGTAAGGCAACAGTTCGGTCCGGAAATTAAGGGAAGTAAAAAGGAGGGGGGGGGGCTAGGGGGGGGCTATCGTGGGCAGCTGCGTTGGCTGTCTCTCCGTCACTGTTGGCAGAGAGACGGAGGTCGGTTTTTTTCGCTTGCAACAACGACAAAAGCAGTCGGTTCATGCTTTTTTGTTGTAGTTGTTTACAGTTCACGTGCCGGTCGATTCCACGCGCGGAGAGACATATACACGCGAACCCCCGTTCCGCCGCCGCGATTGTGGAGTCGGCCAAAGTGGAGAGAGGCTTTTTTCTGGGTGGCGTGGGGGGGGGTTGCAGGGTGAGAGGACGTGGCTTATGATGTCAGCAAGCTTATGAAAAAAATTACAATGGACGCTGGGATAGATGCACGCCTCTCACTTCACCCTCCCCCTGGGATCAAGCCCAGCTGCGCCTTTATCTGAAGTGTTCTCGTGTCAGGGGTTGTCACTCGGCGCAATGGCCGTCCACGCAAGCAGGGTCTGACTGGCGGCATGCGCGTGGGTCTACGGGAGGGAGCGATCACCGTGGCCAGCAAAAAACAAGAATAAGCCGCGGAATGAGACAGCGCAGCCTCGTCATCGGCCACGGCGCGACGACTGACAGAAGGGAACGGGAGTGGGGGGGGAGCGTTCTGCACGCGTTTAGAAGTAAACATGCTTACTGAATTTCGATTTAAAGCTTTCGTGACTGCAAGGATTCATCTTCTTTGGTTCTTTAGGTAAAGTCACGTGACTTTACCGAAAGAACCAAAGAAGATGCTTACTGAACTAAACTAAAAACTCAACATTTTTTTATTTCGCCAGGCAAGGCCCACTGAGCCCTGTAGCTCATTTTCAGAAGCGACCCGGCCACGGATGACGGCTCAACGAAGTGGCTCACCGCATGTAAATGTATCGCAGCCAAATACTCTAAACGCGTGGTGATGTTCATTCTAAATGTGGAGGGAAAAACCGGAGGACCCGGAGAAAAATCCACGCGACCACGGGGAGAAGCAAACTCCAAATCAACATCAGGCGTCAGGGTTTGGATTGAACCCACAACCTCCTGTACGCCCGGCGAGGTAGCTAACGTCTACCGAGCCACCGTGGAAGCTGACCTGCTGCACGCTCCTCTCGTTGCGTTTCGCCGCAACCCAAGTGCAGCGTTTGCCGCTCAGCAAAGAGAGAGAGAGAGGGTGGGGTGAGAGGTGGAGGGGGGGCCCTCGTTCCCCCCTTCCTTTGCGAGCGATAAAGAGAGACCCAAAACCCACGACCTCCAGGCGAGGTAGTTGATGCATCACCACCGCGGTGCGCTGAGCAACTTGTACAACGATACGGAGATACTCGGGAGTACAGACGCGTGCGTGACACCGGACGGGCTGGACACAGAGCGGACGCGGCGGCCGCAGGGTCCCTCTCACCTCCAGCAGGAGGATGGTGATGGCCCCCAGGATGCTTATGATCTCGCCCCCGAGACGCACAAAATCCAGATGTGTTTTGTAGCTCTCCTGCATGGCCAGGCACACAGGTGGGGGGGGGGGGAGGGCATGGTCCGTCTATCAATCAAAACGATCGGGGCAATGTCGCTCACCAATATCATTCGCTCACTTGCCAAGGTAGCCACGGCTTCACTTGGTCTTGTGTACAATGTCCAGGCAACATCTGAGACCCGAGCTTCCCCCACACACAAAGCGGACGACAGGAGTGGCCTGCTGCTGCTGCTGCTCCGCGTGTAGGTGTGGTGCAACCGCACAGCTGGCGCATCGGCCAGTCACCTCGGTCAGTCAACCCACGGCACCTGGATCCGTCCCGCGACCTCCGAGCCTTCGACACTTCACGTGGCCTTAAGCTGCGCATAGCCTGGCGCAAGCTCCATGGGGACGTCACCTCCACTTAGTGGCGAATGGCGGTTGTTTGTGCGACTGCACTTGGGAAAATGGACCAAGGGACACGTGGTGCTGGGCTATGGAGAGGGGTGTGAGGTGCGAGGTGAGGAGTGAATGCTGCGAGTTGGCTGGGGTCTCTGTTCGCGCCGCGTTTAGACGTTCAGCGACGTGGGGGGGCTCTTGCCGGTGGCAGTGGCAGATTGTCGATAGATGCTGAAGGTCGCCAACGGTGGGACAAAAACCTCTGTCGTGATACGAGAATGACTCGGGGTAGATTCGCTCCGTCCTGCTGCACTGCAGTGTATCGTCGCCTATTTGTCCGCGTCGCGCACCTCGTTTTCGATAATGTTCAATATTGAATGGTTTCTATCTTCTAACTCTTTTACTTGTCATCTGTACGCGAGAGGCAGTTTCCCAGCTCGTCGCGTCGCTCAGATGGCACGGGCTCTGCTGCACGGAACGGAGTAAGAAATCCGCCTTGGTCCAATCCCCCCCCCCCCCCCCGCCGCCCACGACCTCTTCACAACCCGGCACCTCGAGCACCACCAGCCGACGGACCCTGCCGGGAGTTGCCACCGCCTGGCACCCTGGATGGCTATGCCCACCCCCAGGTACCAGCGTGATGGCTGCGTTAAAGGCACGATGCGCTTCGCGGGGGGCGGGGTCTGTGACTAAGCCGGGCAGCACCCGCCGCCACCTGGAGACTTCGCGTGCCGTAGCAGCCAGACGCCCGGCACGTCGGAGCCAATCCGCCCCCCACCTTCGCCTCGCTTCCTCCCTCTAAAGTCACGGCGACGCCTCCCTTCAAAGAATGTCGTGAAGCACGCTATTTGGTGCTGGAGATAACCACCGCGTTTGCAAAATGCGATTTGTGAATTTCATGTCTTGCCCGTGCAGCATCGATTGTTCAATTTTTTGACGTGCACATTTTTATCTAGTTACCGTGTGTTGTCTATTGCTTTGCTGCCTTGCCCGAGATTGGTAATCGGTGTAATTACGCACGATAAACGTATATACTTTCATCTATTTGAGGTATTTATGTTTAGTGACTTGCTCACCTGTCCTGTACTTTGCACTCCGATCGTTTTTTTTGCATCGTTCGTTGTTGCAACTTTCTGACCCCGCGCCCCTCTAATTGAACATCTCACTGGGGAAAAAGAGCTTCATAGCTTATCGGATTTCTCCAGGGATAAGTTAGATTCTGATTTATAACTGCGACTTGTCCAAAAACTACAACCACAGTAGTTTACCGAGGACTTATTAAAATCATAGAGTAGAAGCCCTCTTAACACTACTATACACTACACTATACACCACACTACACTATACACTACACTACTATACAATACACACTACACTCTTATACACTACACTATACACTACACTACTATACTATACACTACACATTGGGCTCTATGGAGGCCCGTCGTGAAGCGATGTAGTCGTTACGAGGGGTTCTGCTGTGCTCTGTATTTTTGGCCTCGTTCACCAACAAGAGAGGCAACAACACAACAACACCATTTGCCGTCTTTGTCGTAGGAAAAAAATAAAAAATAATAATGCTTTGCAAAATGTTTTGCAAATGTCGCGCGTTGTGTGTCAGGTCAGGGGCGTAACAGGCGTGAACGTTGCGTCAGGAGGACCTGCCGTCCGTAACCGGTTTGGGCCACCGTGCGGAGTTGTCAGCCAAAGAACTCCAAAGACAAGAAAAAAAAAGTCAACCGACCAACCCCCAATGACGTAAGAAACCGGTTGCAAAAAACTCACCCCGGTGGGTTTTTTTTTCTTCCCCCCGACCACCTGTCAAGAGTCCACGGAAACCCTCGAGCAGAGAGAGCGAGAGCGCTTTTCACAACAGCTCAAACGGGAGCCAAAAATGCAAAGGCGGCCGACAGCCGAAACCGTGGCGATGGTATCGGCTGGCATCCGCCGTACAAACCGGCTTGATACAAACTACTGCCTGAGATAACAAATCGTGGGACCTCTGCATGAACCTTCCCCCCCCCGCCCCGCCCCCCCCCCCCATTGCAAGAGCTGCAGCTTTACAGCGTCGAGAGTGGAACAGACTCAGTGGGGCTCAAAATAGGGATGACTGCAAAATGCAGCTTAAGTGACCCCCCCTCCTCCCCCGCCCCAAAGCGATGGGAGAAGTTGGCACGCACGGACAGGGGTTTCTGGACGAGGATGACGTCGTCGCGTGGGTCCGTGGCGTTGTCCGTGCGCATCATTAGGGGCCGGTAGATGCAGGCGAGCGAGAAGCTGGTGATGTAGACCATGTAGAGCATGGTCCACATGCGGAAGTAGCGCCGCCCGTACCGCTTCCACTTGATGTTGATCAGCTCCTTCACGGGGGTCACCTCCAGGATCTGGCGAGCCTGAGGGGTGGCAAAGCATTTCGGCCCCGTCGTCAGCAAGTTGCCGGCGTTGTTGGACGTCTAGCCCAGCGCCGGCTCAGAAGCTCTATTTAGACTGGAAGAATCCCATGAGCTGTGAAGCTCGTTTTGTCCAGGAGGGGAGGGTCAGAGAGTTTCAGCAAGAAACGATACAAAAACCGATAGAACTGCAAAGTATAGGGAAGCCACGCAAGTCACTCAAAAATAATAAATGTAAATAAAGTATAAAAGTACAAATTGCACAAACACATCACGTGAGCACGTGGCAGTCGGTGCCTCTCTTAGAAAGAAGCACAGTGGTGGTGCAAGGTGGTGGTGGCGGTGGTGATGCAAGGTGGTGGTGCAAGGTGGTGGTGGCGGTGGTGGTGGTGGTGGTGGTGATGCAAGGTGGTGGTGATGCAAGGTGGTGGTGGTGCAAGGTGGTGGTGGCGGTGGTGGTGGCGGTGGTGGTGGTGGTGATGCAAGGTGGTGGTGGTGCAAGGTGGCGGTGGCGGTGGTGGCGCGCTCCGTCAGACCTCGCGCTTGTGGCTCGTGGTGATGATCTCCAGCACCGAGCGATCGTCCTCCCATGAGTCGATCTCGCTGAGGTCATACAGGGTGGACGTCACGGTGCCCAGCGACCACTGCACCACTCTGCGACGCTTCACCAGGTGCTGGAACATCTGTCAACATCGGGCGTGGGACGTCTCCGGTCAAAGCCGCCGGAACTGAAGACCGTACAGCGGAGAGACACCGCCCGCCGTCCAAGTGCGAGACTCACCACCACGTTGCCCTTGGCCGCGGCGAGCTTGAGGGGGGTGTAGCCGCGGTGGTTGAGAATCGACTCCGGGCAAACATCGCCCTCGCCCCACTGCGTGCTCGCCAGGATGAAGTCGTACACCTGGCAAGCGATGATGCGGTTCGTCTGGAGCACCAGCGTGTGGAGGACCGTGTTGCCTGCGTGCCGGGGGAGCGCAACATTTGGTTGGGGTGGGGGGTGGCGGTGAGGCGCCGAGAGGCTGCTCGTCTCTCGCACACCGAGGGCACGCGGCTCCCGACGATTCGCGATGCGGCGAGACTGCCAAAGGGCAGCAAGGCGGCGGGACGGGAAAGAGGACAGCGCGTGGGGGCGAGTGCTGCGGCCGCCTTCACCTGGCCCGCGTGCGGCGAGAAAGTACGCGTTGTGCGACCGAGCGATCGAGGAGGTGCGGCGCTCACCGCGGGAGTCCTGCGCGCTGACCCTGGCCCCGTGCTGCAGGAGCAGTCGCACCAGCTCCAGGTTCCCCGTGCTCGCGGCGAACGACAGCACGTACTCGCCTGGGGGGCCCGGCGGGCGGGGGGGGGGGGAGTGGGGGGCGCACAGCACGCGCAGCGCACACCATGCACTCGCCCCCACTCCTCACGTGCGCTATCTTTGCACTTTTTTTTAATCAAAAGTTTACATTTTCACCAACAAAACGTCCCGCAGTTGACGTATCCCACAGTCTGGCGATTCCTTGCCGAGAGGCGCAGAGAGGCGCCGATCGCGTGGCACTTATGGCGATGCTCGGAACACCAACGGGTCGGGTGGAAAAATGTCCCCCCTTCCACGTGCCCGATCAGCGTGGCTGAGATACATTTTAGGGTGGTGGGGGAACGTCAGTTGCGGGCTGTTTCAAGGCAGTAGGCCTCGTGTGGCCCCAGGGCGTGTATGACATTAAGTCCAAACTAAACTGTAAAACTAAAAATATGTTTTCTTTTACCAGGTAAGGCTCCACTGAGCTGTTTAGCTCGTTTTAAGAAGCGACCTGGCCATCACAAACGACAGCTCGACGAAGTGGCCTATCGTCGTGTGGGCATTCATTGCAGCCAAATACTCTGAACGCATGTTTCTGAACGTGAAGGGAAACACCGGACGACCCCGAGAATAACTCGCGCGACCACCACAGGGAAAAAGAGAGACACGGCAAGCTCCAAATACACAGCAGCAGGCGTCAGGGTCAGGATCGAAACCACGACCTCCTGTACACCAGGCGAGGTAGTTAACATCTCTTAGCCACCATGATGATGATGATGATAATGATGAGAGAGAGACACCGCGAACTCCAAATATACAGCAGCAGCAGGCATCAGGGTCGGGATCGAACCCACGACCTCCTGTACACATGGCGAGGTAGTTAACATCTCCTAGGCACTGTGGCGCCCAATCTCCTCTCTATCAGGGCACGGTAAAAAGTGTCGGACGAAACCGCAGTGAGCACGGGAGTCTGCTGACCCCATGCTTTGCGTTGCTCCCAAAAATAGCCTCAGCCATGGCCCCAACGATGTCAAAACTCAGCACCGCTGCTCGAGAGAGCAGGTTTTTCTGTGCCGACGGGCTCACTTTAGTCGAGAACAGTGCCGGGTGGTGTTATCGATCTTATTTTTTGACGTCGTTGTTTAAGGCATTATTGTTTTCAAATTTTGTTGTAAGTTCATGGCACCGGGATTTCACCTCAGCCGGCACGTCTCTGCAGATAGGACCGCGTGCTCGTTAGCGTTCCTCAGAGCAGAGTACTCCGATCCGTATAGAATCATTGGGGTCACCGTGATCTCACGTACTGTGAGTTCATACTTTGAGTATTTCAGATCTTAATGAGCTTTGCAACTGATGCCGCGTCTAGTCAAGTTCACTTCCATGGAAACGCGACCTGAACCCCAAGTACTCTGGCGTCACTACCCCTCTCTCGGCACCTCGGCATCAACGCAGCCGTGACCAACCCGCTGTCGTGCGGCCACAGCGTCGCCGGACCGTGCCGCCACCATCGTCGCGCCGCGGTGCCGTCGTCGGCACGGCGTACTGCGGCTGTACCGTAATGAGTGTGCTTGCGGTGTTTGCCGGTGAAGTAGGAGCCGGTGGTGCGCGACGACTCCGCGTCCGCCCCGCGTAGCAGCAGCTCCTGCACCAGGTTCACGTTCTGGTTGAGCACGGCGATGTGCAGCGCCGTCTGACCTGCACGGATGGTTGGGCGGGAGAGGCGACGTTGACCGATAGTCACACGGCTGCCGGCTTCACGGCTGTGTGCGGGCCAGTGTGGCTACGCCGGGGCCCCTGGGCTAAAGGGGCTCAGGAACCAGGCCACAACGGAGCGGGGTATATGGCAGGGGGCACCCCCCGTTTACTTGCGTGCACCGGCGCCCATGCCCGCCGCCCGCGCGATCCCGCTCCCTAGCTGCTTTTCCCAGCTTCCGTTCCGCGCTTCTTCCTTTCGGCGCTCCGATCCCCGCTTCCCGCTTCGGCTTCGTCATTCGGTGCGGCTCTCGCCCAACGCCGACGCACCGTCATTTGTCATGCAGGCCGCGGCCGCTGAGCGTGGTACACGCGCAAGGCTCGCCGGAACAAAGGGGTTCGCGAGATAACAGCGGTCAGGATGTCCTGCCACATCCTCTGGAGCTTTCTGCACCTCCTTCCGGCACCATGCGTGCCAGCCCATCGCACCACTCACCCTTTGTCGCTCATCCGTGTAGTGTTGTTGTCGCCGCGTTTGTCTCGTGATTATTTCTGAAAGTGTTTTTTATTGTTCTCCAATTCCCGCAGCGCTGACGCACGCACGGCACGGCAAACGCGCGTTACGAAATTGCCTGTGGTGGGATGTCCAGCAGCGACCGCTTCCCCTGATAAACTAAACTATTCCTATAAACTATTTTGTATTCTACCATGTAAGGCCCACTGAGCTATATGGCTCTTTTTCAGAAGCGACCTGGCTATCGCAATGACAGCTCAACGAAGTGGCTCGTCATCACGTGGAAATGTATAGCAGTCAAATACTCTAAACGCGTGATGTTCACTCTAGATGTGGAGGGGGAAAACGGGGACAGAGAGAGAGACGCAAACTCCAAATATACAGCAGCCGTCAGGGTCGGGATTGAACCAACAACCTCCTGTATACCCGGCGAGGTAGTTAACATCTCCGAGCCACCGTGACTGCTGACCTACTGCACATTCCTCTCGTTGCGTTCCGCTGCAACCCAAGTGCAGCGTTTGCCGAAGGCAAAGAGAGAGAGAAGGTGGGGTGGTGGGTGTCCTGGGGGGGAGGGAGGTGGTGGGTGTCCTGGGGGGGAGGTGGTGGGTGCCCTGAGGGGGGGTGGTGGGTGCCCTGAGGGGGGGGGGTGGTGGGTGCCCTGGGGGGTGGGGGTGCCCTGGGGGGGGGGGGGGTGACCTGGGGGGGGGGTGCCCTGGGGGGAGGGGGGGAGGGGGTGCCCTCATTCTTCCCTTCCTTGACGAGTGATAGAGAGACCCACAACGCGTGACTGCCATGCGCTGGGCTGACAATCAGGGGCAGGATTCAGATTTTGTAGGCCCCCGGGCAACAGGTACTGTGAGGCCCCCAGTAATATTTTCCAAAGGAAAACAAAGTTAAAGAAAAATAAAATTTATTTTTTTACAAGGCTAACAACAAATAAAATTCAGCATTCACAAAGTGAAACAACTTTTCACTTCATCTCTGGAGGCCCTCCAGCTGCCTGAGGCCCCTGGCCTGAAGCCCCTAAAGCCCCGTGCCTTGATCTGGCCCTGCTGACAATAAACCGACGGCAGGGGGAGAAATCGTCCCAAGTGCTCCCTCCCTCCCTCGGTTTCGCCACTTTCGCTCAGCTGCGCGCAAAATAAAATAAAAACCGGCATTCACTCCCCCCCCCCTTCATCTCGCCGGCCAGCGCCACTTTTTAGGCGATTTAATTTGAGCGTCACAGGCGGCCGCGTGCTTCCAGGCACGCCCGCCGCGTTCATCGAAGAGCTCCATCTCGGCCATCTGGCAGTGCGCGTAATCCGAGCCACTACGGCTTCCTGCTGGCCACGACCTAACAATGTTGTTTGTAGCCAGGCTAGATAGTGGTCCAGAGTGGTGTCGCGTGATTGACCATGAACCCCCCCCACCACCATGTCCATATCGCCACCCCCCTCCACCCCTCTTCATAGTAGCTCTGTGTGTGGGCCCCTGTGGTACTGCCTGGACCCCTGTGGCACTGCCTAGACCCCTGTGGTACTGTCTAGACCCCTGTGGTACTGCCTGGACCCCTGTGGCACTGTATAGACCCCTGTGGTACTGTCTAGACCCCTGTAGCACTGCCTGGACCCCTGTGGCACTGTCTAGACCCCTGTGGTACTGTCTAGACCCCTGTAGCACTGCCTGGACCCCTGTGGCACTGTCTAGACCCCTGTGGTACTGCCTAGACCCCTGTGGTACTGCCTGGGCCCCTGTGGTACTGCCTGGACCCCTGTGGCACTGCCTAGACCCCTGTGATACTGCCTGGACCCCTGTGGCACTGTCTAGACCCCTGAGGTACTGCCTAGACTCCTGTGGCACTGTCTAGACCCCTGTGGTAGTCTAGACCCCTGTGGTACTGCCTAGACCCCTGTGACACTGTCTGGACCCCTGTGGCACTGCCTAGACCCCTGTGATACTGTCTAGACCCCTGTGGTACTGCCTAGACCCTTGTGGCACTGCCTAGACCCCTGTGGCAACATCAACCGCTACTCGCCACTAAGTGGCGGTGACGTCACCAACGCGGCTTGTGCCAGGCTACGTGCAGGTTGAGGCCACGTGAAGTGTCGAATACCCGCCAGCAGAAGGTCACGGGGCAGACCCAGCAGGTTCCACGGGTCGACTGATTGAGACGACTGGCCGATGCACCGCCTGTGCCCCCTATTTTGCCAACTTGCTACATTTTAGCCGCCCGGCGCTCCGCTCGTTGTTGTGAGCGTCGCTCCTCTTGCCCTCCGTTGTTGCCGGAGGGCGACTGCCCCCAACTGCCCAGTAGCACCATCGTCCTTCACGAGCCTCCTCCACACACTGCCCCGGGCACGTGCGGCACCGCATCACCAATGCCCGTGTAAGCCCGGGGGCTCTTCTCGCGTGCGCGGCAGAGCCCGCGCTCGCTCGCATACCGGGGAGCTCGTCCGTTACCCCCTCGTCGTGGAGGGTGGAGGGTCACGCGTGGCGACCGCGTTACCCTGCGCGCGACCCGGACGCCGGTGTCGTCTCACTGCACGCAGCGCGCGCGTTACCCTGGTAGAGGTCGGAGATCATGGACTCGTTGATGAGCGTGGGCTCCGCGTCCAGGAGGGCGAGCGCCGCTCCCAGGTTCTCGCACTGCACGGCCACGTGGAGGGCCGTCTCTCCCAGCACCCCTACACCGTACCACACCGCACGTTTCACCACGCGTTACACCACACCGCAGCACACTGCACCACACAGCACCACGCGTTACACTAAAGCACGCCACACAGCACCGCGCGTTACACCACACGCACCACACCGCAGCACACCACGCGTTACACCACATTAAGCAACATTGCTCACAGCGCACAAAAGACAAAGACCCCCAATGAAGCCTACAACAGGCTGTTTGGGGCAAGTGCTGTCAGCGAGTAGCACCTATGGAGGCCGGCACGGCACACGAGGTGGGTGGCCAGCACCACGCCCGGCCGCCCGCTTTTGTCTCCACAGTGCTGATGTTTACACACGCCACCAGGTACTCATTTATGGCTCAGCCGACCCAGGGGAGGCACAGGACTGGTTCAGATTATCGTCACGTTCGTTGGCATACCTGTCAAACCCTTATCAGTGCCCTACCGTATTATAGACCAATTAACACCTTAGTGGTCACCCCGTGCCCATTATAAATCTCAACGTTCATCCTACAAAGTCCCATCACAAGGGAGCAACACAAATAGGCAACAATTTGTTGTCGATGTTGCCCGTAATGAAACGGCTCTACGCCGTGTGGACCTAAGAAAACTAAATTTCCCTGTACAAGAATACGGGGTAAACCGTGTGGGTTGACACGGTATGCGTTGGCCATGAGCGGGAATCGAACTCGGGCCGCCAGGTTCGTAGCGCATTGCACTCCCCCACTGCACTGCTGCGCCCATCACAAACCACACACGTGGCACCGTCGCATCACGTGACGCCACACTGTGTCACACTGCACACCACGTGGCACCGTGCAAACACAGCACAGTACACACAGCACACCGCACGGCACACACCACAACACATACAGCACACCGCACGGCACACACCACAACACACAGCACACCGCACGGCACACTACACGGGACACAGCACACCGCACAACAAACACAGCACACCACACGGCAACAGAACACGCACCAAATCACACACCAAATCACACAGCACATCACACAGCACACCGCACGGCACACACAACAGACAACACAGCACACACAGCACACGAGATGGTACCACAGAGTACACGCCAAATGGCAGCATGCACCACGTGGCATAACCATTCGAAAGTGGTAACAGCATTTGCATTTTAAATACACATTCTAAATACCACCTGACGTATTGAGAACATCTAATTCACTTGTCTTTGTGATTCATAATAAAAGTTTTTGGGTTCGATCGCGTAAGTATAAATGTGTCGTAACCCTCCACACCACCCGACACAGCCAGGAAGGTTTGCCACGTAAACAACGCGCCAATTAGTTTACTACTTCAGCCCACCGGTGTGTTGGAGACAAACCTTCCTGGCTGTGTCGGGTGGTGGAGAGTTACGACACATGCATACTCACGCGATGGAACCCAAAAACCTCTTATGCATAACATTGGTCTTTGTGAATCCACCGCTGGATTAATGTCACTGACACCATGTCGGTCGTGGAGGTCCTGTCACCCCGGTGGTGCAGCGCAGCGCGCGTTGCCCTATGAACCGGGTGAACCCGAGTTCGATTCCCGCTCACGGCCAACATCGGTCGGGTCTGGTACCGGCCACCCAAACCCCACCTTGTGTACCGCGGTGTCCTTCTTAAAGTTTGCTGCTCGCTAACAGCATTTGCCCCCCAACTGTCTGTTTTAAAGGCCACGTGGGAGGATATTTTTTTTGTCTGTGTTACCGTGCGTCGCGCTGGGTCAGAGCGAGCTGGAGCCGGCTCAGATGTCGGTGTCCCGAGTGAAGGCTGCTACCCGAACCGGTTCAGATTATCACGCGGCCCGCTCAATATCGGCTGTGGCCGGGACTGGAACTCGGGGGTCGCCGGGTTCGCGGTGCACTGCGCGAACCGCTTTGCCACCGCTCCCTCTCCACGCATTGTATTCCGGTGAGCTTGTTATACAATGCAGTGCATACTACGTGGCATGGTTTGGTGCGTTCAATATTCGTGGTTACGAGTGAATGACTCGACACATTCTCATTCAATGAATGTAACGCGTAATGTTTCTGCTGATTTTAAAATGTACTTTCATCAGTTCGGTGGGATATGCTTATACGCGGTGCTCGCAGATTTGGCCCTGCATTCAGAACATCGCAGAGTTGTGTTTCTTTCTAGTGGTCGAAAGCTTCTCTTGTCGCTGTGCCTAACCCACCCCAACTCTGACCAACTAAATGGCAGGGGAGACACCGCCACGGCGCTTGTGCCAGGCACGGTGCACCTTCCGCCCTTCATTCTGTTCTATTCTTGCGCACAACGGCAGCAGCAGATGTTGTGGTCACGACGAGAGAGAGAGAGCGAGCGCAGACTACCGCAGTGACTTCATTATATGGTCCATTGACTTAACGTTGTTCATAGAATTGGCATTGTCCATAGACTAACTTTACCCATAGACTTTACATTACCCATATTTACATTACCCATAGAGTTGACATTGTCCATAGACTTAACATTGCCCATAGATTTACATTACGCATATACTTCAAATTGTCCATAGATTAACATTACCAATAGACTTGACATTACCCATAGATTTCGATTTAAAGCTTTCGTGACTGCAATGATTCATCTTCTTTGGTTCTTTCGGTAAAGTCACGTAGAATGAGAATAAAATAATAAATTGATAAAATAAAATAACACAATAATATGTTATTTTACCGAAAGAACCAAAGAAGATTACCCATAGACTTAACACTGCCCATAGATTTACATTACCCATATACTTAACATTGCCCATATACTTAACATTGCCCATAGACTTAACATTACCTATAAACTTAACACTGCCCATAGACTTAACACTGCCCATAGACTTAACATTGCCCATAGACTTGCCATTACCCATAGACTTGACATTACCCATAGACTTAACATTGCCCATATACTTAACATTGCCCATATACTTAATATTACCCATAGACTTAACATTGCCCATAGACTTAACATTGCCCATAGACTTAACATTGCCCATAGAATTAACATTGCCCATAGACTTGTTTGTAGAATGTTTCATTGAAGATTTGGTCCAACAAGCACTGAATGCTGATGTCTCATCAACACTTACTTCACCTGGTGCCTGATTAACACTTACTTCACCTGGAATGGAACATTATAAAAACAAGTTGAAGGTATCCCGATGGGTTCTCCCTTATCTCCAGTTGTACCCAATGTTTTCATGGAAAAAATTGAGACAGATGCCATCCAGGCATCCACTCTACGTCCGTCCTTGTGGAAGAGGTACGTAGATGACACGTTCGTCATCTGGCCACATGGCCGACCAGCTCTGAACCAATTCCTCAACCACATAAATTCCATACACCCAGCCATCAAATTCACCATGGAAGTAGAAAAGGATGGCTAGCTACCATTCTTGGATGTTTTAATCGAAAAGAGACCAGATGGCTCAATGGGACACTGCCTACAGGAAAGCCACCCATATGGATGCCTACATAAAATCTGACTCCCACCACCATCCATCTCAGAAGAATTCCCTCATCAATACTCTACACCATAGAGCTCGATGTATTTCGAACCATCATCACCTAGCCAGTGAACTGGAACACGTACACCAAGCTCTCAAGATGAATGGATATTCAGACTACGCAATCCGTAAAGCTATCACCCCAACCGTTGGGAAAGAACCATCTGAGGACCCAATGTAGACCATCACCTTGCCATACATAGCAGGGGTCACCAAAATTTTTTCCAAAATCATAAACAAAGATCCAGGTTCGATTTAACACAATACGTAAAATTCGTGATCTGATCCCATCTGTGAAGGATGTGATCCCTGACATACAAACTAAGCTGTGTCTGCAGCAGTAGTTACATTGGGGAAACTAAGCGACATGTCTCAGACCGTGTTCGTGAACATAAAGCAGATCTGAAACACTGTAGGACCAATACCTCGGCCGCGGCTGATCATTGTTTTAATGCGGTTGGCTCACACGAAATTGATTTCTCTAAGACGAAGGTACTTTGCAAACCCACTGGCTATCAACAAAGATTCGTTCATGAAGCCATCCATATATATAGATACAGACACAATTTCCACCGAGAAGATGGGTACAAACTTAGCAATCACTGGAAGGACGTTATCAACCAGTTTAAGTCATAACTGGTTGTGATATTCCCTTTCCTGCCATCTTCCGATGTCAATTTTTTATTTTTTCCCCGTGGCTTTGGCTCTCCGATATTATATTAGCAGGTTGAATTTCTCGCGTCAATGTGGCCACCTACGGACGCCGACCCCTGCGTTGCGGTGGCTCTGTGATCTTACATTAACATTATGCTAATCTCTCACATTAACATCACTAGCCCCGCCCACTTCGTTTATGACCCTAGGACTCCAACCTATAAAACAGTCTGGATTCAGCAGCTTTCCTCCTCTTTCCTCCTGATGACGATCGCTTGTGTTGTGATCGAAACGTCGTAGTTTTTTGTAATTTTCTTTTAACCATCTACTTGACTTTACCGAAAGACCCAAAGAACATGAATTCCTGCAGTCACGAAAGCTTTAAGTCAAGAATTACCCATATACTTCAGATTGTCCATAGACTAACATTACCCATAGACTAACACTGCCCCACAGACCAACACTTCCCATAGACCAACACTGCCCATAGATGAACACTCCCCATAGACTAACACTGCCCCACAGACCAACACTGCCCCACAGACCAACACTGCCCATAGACCAACACTGCCCAAGACGAACACTCCCCATAGACTAACACTGCCTATAGACTATTCTTGAACATGGCAATACGTTTAGGAATTAAATGCCAGCGTGGAGGTATTGCTGCTGCTACCACGGCAAGAGAGAGAGAGAGAGGTTCAGCAGAGAGAGAGAGCGTCATGTCGCTGTTCCTCTTTCGTTAAAGGAACGCAGACTACCACAGTGGCGAACACCAGCAACGATTATCTGAACCGGTCCTGAGCCTCCCCTAGGTCGA